GATGGGAGCTCTTACTATTCCTTGCACGGAAGATTTCTTCCTAGAAGTACTTCTTCCTTCAATGGATGCTAACCTGCAAAGGCAACATTAACTTAGATCAGTCACACACAATTTGTGTATAGAAGGCCATTCACATAGTTTTGCTATGTATAGATTTTCCCCCTCTTTTTCTTCCCCTATACTTGGGAATTGTCTAATTAATTGTGTCTGAAAGATTTATCAATAGACAATTTTCACACGATTCCGATCAATTATGAATATCAAAGGCTTCGATCTTCTAGATTAGGATACAAAGTTTGTTCTCTCGTTGGGCGAGATTGAGAGGAGAGTTATGCTATTTAATCCAATACATTCAAATCAAGATTTAAACGCAGAGATACAAAAGCGTCTAAGTGCAAGCAAGCACTTTTTTTGTGTTAGGATTAAATGGCTTACAATGTTTCATTAATTCTTACTCTAATTGATTCTTAGAAAAAATAACCATCCCAAAGCATATGCTTGGCTTCAAAAATAATGTAATAGGTCAATCAAAGTTATGATAATAAACTAATTTTATGTTATACCTTTACAATATCATCAAATCAATAATACACATCCGTTCTCTGGCAAAACAATCAATAATAAGTTTTTTCCTGGAAAAAAAAAAAACGTCATAACTTAATTAGATGAAGCTTCAAGATGTGTGTGTGTTGCTTATGAGCTCAAGAGTAAGGAATACAGAATTTGCTTACAAAGGGACAAGGGGCATAAGAGATCACATGACATTGTCTTATGGGTACATTTCAAGGATGAAGACGTTACAAGGGAGTACACACACACACACACACAAATCTCAAGCCAACTCACATAAGAGAGATATATTAAAATTGATAGACGCTATATATGTAAATGCGTCGAGACAAATCACAAAACCGTGTGAAGAATAGATTATGTTCGTTACATGGTATTGTTGATAATTAATTAACACCGAAAACAAAATGGACCACAAAAATAGTTTTTTCGAAATCTAGCGGCTAAGGTTAAATTTGAAACTCCAACTTTTTACTTTGACAATATGAAAATTATGATATTACGTTACCCAGAACTTGATTATAAATCCAGTGTCCACAAAAGGAACCAAAATCTATCAAGAAACAAAGTGGACAAAGAATGAAGTTTAATTTATAAAATTATTCCGAGATCAAATGAACCATCTTTTGAAAATTCTTCTTAGTGCCTCATTTAGAATCTCAGAACCGGGACTTATTAGGAAGTGAAAGTGGAGGCCGGAAAATTATGCGTTGGAGATCATTTCGCTAAGGAAGCCACTTACGTATGAAGTTGATACCCGCTATCAGAATTCACGATTGGAATTACAAGATTAAAGAACGTAATATTTTTTCTCAATTCACACCAAAATCGTTTAAAAAAATACTATTCATTGTCATCTAAAGTGAAAGTTCAACGCTTTTGATATTGATAATTGACTAAGTGGAAACTTCTATTGAGGTAAACAATTTTTCACTTCCCAAGTAGGGGAACGAAGAGAAGAACAAAATCTTTACAAAACAAAAGGATCCATTACAAAATTGTGCTGACTAATCTATGTAAGTCTTATCTTTGCCACCTAGCACCTGCGGAATGAAGAAGTGACATTGAGGAAGATGTCTTCTGTGCAAGGAATAGTGAGGGCGCCCATTGGATGATCATATCCAAACTCTTCCTCAACTTGGCTTAACAATTCTTGAAATGAAGGTTGATTCAAGTAAGATATCGGGATCAAAAACCTCTTCATTTCCTCTCCCACATAGACCGCAAGGTATCCCTTTGGTACTTCACTTGATTTTGAAGAAGACCTTCTGATTCCAGGTAAACGAAAACCCATATTTTTGCTTATGAGAATAAGAAGAAAGTGCTCAACTACTTTAGATGCTAGAAGATATTGCTGAAGAGTTAAGTTGTTTCTGAAATGCATGGAAGTATATGAGTATATATATAGATGAATATAATGGACTTATTTTCCTTCAATAATTTGAGAGGCTATGTGATAATGCCTATTGGAAGACAATTGCACTTTGAGATCACATGGATGTGTCTTAGCAAGGTCCTTTTCAAAAAGCGACAAGTCAGGTGCGAGCCAACCGAAGAGAAGACTTGGATGCCAATTATGCTGGGATATGACATCGATAAAGGGTTCGTTAAATGGGGTCAAGTCCAGTCATGACGTATGGATGAGAAAAATCACGTTTCTGATTTTTCGTTGAAGAAGGATCACTTGGACACTTCATAGATATATGTATCTGAAAAATTTTATAGTTGTCATTTTAAGTTCTAGACATGCTTGAGACAACTTTTATGGTTCCTTTTCATCAATCCGTCTGACACTTAGCATGTGTCTCAAGCATGTCAAGATATGAAACTAACAACCACAAAAACCTTTTACGTAGACATTAAACTTCAAGCAATTCCGGCGGTCCTTCTTGACATTAGAGAAAGACATAAAAATAATATCATGTGATCCTTCTCATCCATATCGATATCTGGACTAAGCCTCTTAATTGATCATTCATCTATCAATCATATCTTCACCAAATGGGCTATGGAGTATTCTTTTCATTTGGCTCATTTCTTTTTTCCCCCCTAAAAGACTTCCAAGACACCATGTGATCTCTTTACGCCCTGGTCTTCCAACAATTAAGCTCTATAACAGAACCAACATTATATTCATCTATATATACTCATACTTGTATGCTTTCAAAAGCAAGCAACATAAATCTTTCACTATACTCTCAAGCATCAATACTCGGACACTTCCTTCTTATCCTCTTCAACACGAAAAGCAATGGGTTTTCATTTACCTAGAGTTAAGAAGACTTCCTTTGCTGCAAAGTTATCTTATTCAAAATCTAGTGAAGTGGTGAAGGGACATCTTGTAGTGTATGTCAGAGATGCAAGGAAGAGGTTTGTGATCCCTATATCATACTTGAATCAACCTTCATTTTAAGAGTTATTGAGTGAAGCTGAAGAAGAATTCGATCATGATCATCCAACGGGTGCTATTACTATTTCTTGTACAGAAGTGTCTTTCTAAAAGTCACTTCTTCTCTCTTTCAATGAGTACTGGCTACAGCTTGCAAAGATAACATTCCCTTAGATTAGCCATCAACTCAATTTTGCGGAGAAGGCCATTTGATGGCAATTTTGCTAGTGAAAATTTTCTTGGAAGTGTAAAATTGTTCAAGTCGATGAGAGATTTATCCTTAGACAATTTTCATGCAATTTTAATATATTGATTATTCATTAACATCAAAGGCATTGATCATAATATAGGTGAATAAATTAATTTGTTTTGTCGCTGCAAGGTTGAGGAGAGGATGTCAAATTCCTTAATCCAGTAATTTGAAAACAAGATTCAAATTTAGGTATATGGAACGAACCATCTTAATGCCAATGTGGGCTTGGATTATGAAAAGGGCCCTAATGGGCCGGTTACTTTGGGCTTATAATGTATGGGTAGGGCGAGAATGGAGATTGTATATTTGGATAGAAAAAAAAAGCTAGTGTGTTTGGGCCCCAAAAAAAACACAGAGAGAGAGAGAGAGGAGAGAGAGAGAGAGAGAGAGAGAGCTAGTCTGCGGAATGAATTATGGAAGTCTCTTCTCCTCTCTTGCGTCCCTCATCTCTCTGGCCAGATGCACTATCATTGTGACTGGATTTGCCCTTATTCTGTGCTTTCTAATTTCTATTGTGTTGGAACTATGCTGTTTTCCTTCGATATTGTTGAACCTATTATATGTACCTGAGCTTGGAGTTTTCATTACAAAAGATTATATATTTGGGTTGAGTTAATTACTTGGATCAAAGGGAAAGTGTTTTCCAACAATTTTTTTAAAAAAAATTGAAAACATTATTTGAGGCTAACGGTGTTTGAGTTAGAGAACTAAAAAATATATAAAATTAAGGACCAAACTAAATTTATATAAAAATAAGAAATCAAAAGTAAATTTTTGTCTTAAAATAATTAGTGCCAAATTCTGGAAAAACAAAATTTGGCATCAAAGTTTAAAACATGAGTGTCTAAAGTTGTAATATCAGTATCAAATATTTAATTATCTTTAATATTCTATTGAGATTTTAGAATTTTTCACTGTAAACTAAAATTAAAATTATTTTTTCTGTTTCAAACTTTAATTTCTTAAAGGAAAATAAGGAATTGAGATCTAAACATCAAGAAAGCTGACGTCATTAATAGTGGGATCCTTAGTTACATTGTATGTCAACCCCATGCAGTGCATCATAAGTTTTAATGTTATGATCCCACTTTATTTATCCATCCTGCCATCCCACACACCTGTAATCCAGGAAAACATAGTTCAATATTATCCCGAAAAAAAAAAAAAAAAAAAAAAAAAACGAAAAATGACACTGATGATTTCCTTTCAGGAATTCTCTTCGTCAGAGATGATGATGATGAAAAGAAAATTATTCAGTTTTGAATTTTAAAAAATAAATAAATATTTACACATATACCTCACATGGCTTCCAAGTCAAATGCTTTGGCTTCACAAGCAGGCGCAACATCGAACTCAGTTGCAGGAAAATTCTTAGGCTTCCCACCGATGCTGAACTCAACAGTGTTTGACGTCTCATTCATCTTGATGGACACCACAGTCAACCAAAACCCATGTTCCGTCTTCCCCCGGATCCCGTTCACACGGGTCAGCGATCCGTAAGCAAGCCTCGCTCGGATCTTCACACTGTAACGAATGCCCAACGACACAGTACAAGGCTTTTGGAGTTGGACTCGCAGGACGCCATTGTCGGAGACATTGTGGGATTTCACGTTGTCGGGAAGAACACCCTTGGGAAAGCCGTATTTAGTAAGCAAATTATGGACTTTGTCGGCTTCTTCATCAGATCGCAGAGTTAAGGGGCCATCCTCACAGGCTTCTGAAAGGGCTATGAGTATGAGAAGAAGTGAGAAGAAGCAGAAGATGGAAGAAAGGCGAGTTGATGGAGCCATGGAAGACATTAGAGAACACTCTCTAGAGACTAGAGCCTATATATCTCTTTCACTATATCGGCTTGAATTTCATAATGCTACAAGACGCTCCTTTATATATAGATATAAATAATAATAATAAAGAAGATCATGTAACACACTTGTTGTTAATAATTGATAATATAATGGGGGGCCCTTCAACATAACTACACTCACATGGGGTTAAGATTGAGATGGGGTCACAGCAGGACTGACGAAGAGGGATGGCTGGATCAGACACTTACTGCTCTGCTTTTGGAACGAAACAGCAAGGCATGGTGTGTGTATGTGGTGAGTGGGTAAAACGTTTGCCTCAAATACACGTTTCGAAAACTCAGCAGTTGGACGTGGATAATACTCCTCCGTCTAGTGTGTGTGTGTGTGTGTGTGTGTGTGTGTGTGTGTGTGTATATGTCTGCATCTGAACTAAGAACCGTGGGAGAGATTGCAGAGCAGGGCGTAGGAAAGAGTTGGCGCTGAGTTTAAGGCAAGTCAGTACTCTTAAGTCTCAGTTCTCCACTTCGTAGATTGGAATCAAATTACATAACAGCCAAATTAAAAACTCGCAATTCTGTGTAAATTTTTTTTGGACGAAGTAAAGTTTTACTGTGGCAAATTGAGCACGCTACTGTAAGAAAGAAAAAATTTATTTACTCAAATGCTACAAAATCAAAGCTATTTATCTATATATATTTGTTTCTAATATTGTATAATTATCTTTAGAAAATATTTATTTGATGTTTACAAAGTGATATATTTAATATCAATATTATGCAAATATTTAATTTATTATATTTATTGTGTTTGTTTCGCGGTGGCCTAGGAGGTGGGGAATAAGGAAAAAAAAGGGGTTGTTGGTGGGTTTTTGTGCAACTGGAAAGGAAAAGGTGCCTACATGACACAATTTTTTTTAATAATTGTACTGAATTTGGTGTGTGTCAAAAAAATTTTAGTCCAAATTTGTTAAAAAAAATGTTGGAACATAGTTTAATAGATTTCAAGTTAAATTTTGCAGTATATATTAGTAATAATTTCAAGATCATACCATTTGCCTAATATTTCAAGATCATACCTTTGCCTAAGGGCGTGTTTGGTATGGGAGATTTGGGAGGGAGGGAGGGGAGAGAAGTGGGAGGGATTTTAATCATTTCTTCTTATTTGGCAACACAAAATTTTAGAAGGGGAGGAAAATTTAAAATTTTCCCTCCCCTCCCCAACCTCCGTTCCAAAATTGGGAGTATTTAAGGCAAATGGGCAATATTTTACCATGTTGTGACTATTATGCTCATATTTTTGCCATGTTGTGACTATTATGTCCATATTTTGTTATGTTGTGACCATAATGCCCATATTTTAAACTAATAATAGCAAATTATCCATATTAAACTATTTTCTCCTCCCCTCCCCTCCCCTCCCTCTTTTTTTTTTATAAATCCAAACAAGATAATATTAAAATCCTTCCACACTCCTCCCCTCCCCTTCCCTCATCAAAAATCCCTCCCATTCCCTTCCTCTCATTGAGCCAAACTACCCTAAAGAACTTTTTCTTCCCCTCCCCTTTTTTGATTATCGGGGCAAGATTGAGAAAGAAAGTTGAATACGTTGCTTCAGTAAATTCAAGTCAAGATTTACTTCATGGGACACAACAGCGTCTCTATGTAGTGCAAGAAGAATTATTAAAAAAAAAAAGTTTTATTTGATAGCAACCAAAACCACGATTCTAATTTTCGTTGGCGAATTTTTTTAATTCAGCTTAGATTAGTTATTTTTTATTGAGGTCAATATTAAGCTCCACCATTAGGAATATTATATATAATGATATACTATCCTCCGGTCCTTAATATAGGACCCAATTTTGTGAGTTGGTTTTGGTCTTAAATATAAGACCCATTTCTCTATTTATTAATTTTCTCTAAATTACCCTCATAGATACTCCCTCAACCATAATCAAGTAAAAGAGAGAGATAAGATATTAAGAAAGATGATCATGGTGTTTTAGAAAAAATTAATGTGTCACATTTCTTATAATTAACTAATTTACCTAACTTCCTTAATCTAATCAAATTAGTTAAATGGGTCTTACATTAAAGACTGAAGGAGTATATATATAATGATATACGAATGAATACAAATATTTACGTTTTTTTATATTCATATTTATATTTATAAATTTATAAATATATAATAATAAGCATATAAATGAAGTACATATGTAAATATAGATGCAAAACAAAAAATAAGAAATTGGGGCTAAATACAGTGGGAATCCATAGCTAATTACAATGCCTCACAACTTGAATTATTTAGCACATGCAAATTTTCTATGTTTTTTTTTTTTTTGGTTATTATTTGAGACAAATGGATACGTGTATTCCATGCAGAAAGCTAGCATCCTCCAAAGCAGCCATCAGTATGCTTTAAAAAAGGCCAAAGTACCCCAATTTATTCATGTCCCATCATCCCCACACTTATTATTCAGAAAATCTGCCTACATATATAATAACACAACCCTTATCTTACCACTAACTCCGCTATATAGAACACACCATATCGTTATATTCCATACATAACTAAATCTTTAGACAGATTGTTTAATAAACATGTAACGGTTAATATTTTAATAATAGTTTTAAAAAGATTTAAATCTGAACCGTTAACATATTAATCCAATAGTTAAAAAAAAAACAGAGAGAGAAGGAAGAGGATGGGAAAGGAGGAGGAGATGTTACGAACCGCACATGTAATGAAATTCACTTGAGAGCCTCACATGGCTTCTATCCTAAGTCGATACGTCTTTCTTCACATGCAGGCGCAACTTACAATTGATTGGCATTGATTTGGACTTCCATGTTATACGGCAGAATAAGATCGAACGCAGCAGTGACTGATTTCTCGTCGTTGCTGATTTTTCTCACAGGCAACCATATCCTTCCCACCGCATCCTTTCTTCAATTCTGTTCACATATGATAATGATCCGTAAGTAAGAATCCCAGAGATTTTCTTATTGTAACGAAAACCCAACCTCACATAACAATTCTCTCGTAGTTGGAGGCTCAAGAAGCCATCATCGGTTAAAGAGTAGGATTTAACGTTCCTGGGAAGAACAACCTCGGGAGGTTGACGTCGTGGCTGGGAACAGATCTCAGAGTCAGGTTCTGGAGAGGTCTCCTGGAAACACCCTTCTTTATATGTTACCAAATAATAATAAAGTAAAAGACAATTTGCAATAATGGTGGGCAATAATAGCATTAACGTGATATGATAGCGTGATCATCAAGATAAGGAGACATTAATGTGATATGGTAGTTAAGATCGGATTGAGATAAGGACACAGTATTATATTAATGCAACAGCTGATCAGACCATTGCATATTTCTCCTCATCAAGCAGCTTCAAACCATGAAGAGAGAGCGTGGGCATGGCATAGAGGCCGTCGACTATCAGGTTACTTAGCCGAACGTGCATGAAGTTATGAAGACCAAGAAGTCTCAAGCAGAAAGACTGCCTATTTTTTTCTGTTTCCAGCATGTGTTTATAAGCATCGTGGATTCGGAGTCTATATATAGCATCTGGGATTATGCATGCATGTGTCCAGATTATTGATCGAAGAATTTGAAATGCAAAAATTTAAGCAGTCAAAAACCACCAAAGACTATCCTAGTAGGTCATAACTCATAGTATACTGAGGACTTTGCTGTTGGATTGTGCAAAGAGGTGTTTGATATTAATAATAAGCTAAATTTTCGTAGTAGACAGCTTGTTAAGAAGAGCCACAAAGCATTATCTAAAGATTGATGCTGCATTATGTTCAGGAGAAGGAACATTGTGGGAGGAGGAAGAAGAAAAGAAGGAAAGGAGGCTAAGAGGAAAGCCGATGACAAGACATATAAAGATACAGAAAATGTTGGATATACGATGGCGAAGGCAGTATGTGGCAATAAGATGACAAGATGCAGGAAGGAAAAAGAACAGAGGCGGTTGTAGCTCTTAAAGCAATGAGTGTGTTTAGGTAATGCCAAAAAAGCTACAACAGGACAAGAGTAATTAAGTTGTTGGAACAAGTCTTGACAATAAAGATATAAATACATTACTGAATTCGTTTTCATTTTTTATCAAATGTTCGTTATTCCTTAATATTGGATGTTACTATTATGTCAATTCATTTGAATTTATGTAGCATCTTAGTTCTATATATAAAGAGCAATACATACAGGAATAATGAGTAGAAGTTATCCTCCTGAAAATATGTTTTACTTGTTTTATTTTCCCGTACCCTACGGACCTTAAAATCCAACACTGATCTCAGGAAGCACGTTTACTGCAATTATATAAAAGGCTCAATATTTATTTTGAATCCAGCTGTCACTAATACTTTCCAGTTAGATGCTGCTCCAGCATGCTTCAAGCATGTCTGGAACTTAATATGACAACTATAAAATTCTTTAGATAGACATTAAGCTTTGAACTGTTCAAGTGATGGCACTTGACAAAGACATGAAACAGAGTCATGTGATCTCTCTTACCCATGTTTCTAGACTGGACTACACCTCATTTAGCTAACCCCGGATCAATCATATCTCAACTAAATGGGTTTGCAAGTCCTCTATTCATTTGGCTCGCCTGACTTTTTGCTTTTTGAAAAAGACCTTTAAGACACAACCATGTGAACTCTAAGAGCCTTTGTCTTCCATTAGGCCCTATCAGGTAACCTCTTCACCAATTATTGAAGGAAAACAGATGCATTCATCCATATATACTCATGCTTCCAAGCATTTCAGAAGCAATTCAACTCTACAACAATATCCTCCTCGAGCATCTCAATTCATCAACCACATTCTTCTTATTCTCTTCACAGAAAAATGGGTTTTCGATTGCCTGGAATTAGAAGGGCTTCATTTACTACAAAAGCGACTTCTTCAAGATCAAGTGAAGTACCAAAGGGATTTCTTGCAGTCTATGTGGGAGAGGAAATGAAGAGGTTTGTGATCCCAATATCATACTTGAATCAACCTTCATTTCAAGAGTTATTGAGCCAAGCCGAGGAAGAGTATGGATATGATCATCCAATGGGCGCTCTGACTATGCCTTGCAGAGAAGATATCTTCCTCAATGTCACTTCTTCTTTTTCGATAGGTGCTAAGTGACAACAATAAGATCAATTAACTTTAGATTAGTCAGCACAACATTTGCAATTGGACCAATTTGGATCCATTTTCTTTGTAAAAGATTTTTTTGTTCTTCTTTTTCTTCCCCTTGTTGGGAAGTGCAAAGTTGTTTATCTCAATGACCAACCCATGAATGGAAATTCTCACATTCTCTTTATCAAATTATCAATATCGAAGGCACTGAACTTCTAGTTTAAGGAACGCATAATATTCATTAATCTCGTAATTCAATTATTCTGCCTATTGAGATTTAATTAATGAATCCCCTAGATAACTTATCTCCAAAATAGGACACACAATTTTCAGACTTCCACTTTCACTTTAACTTCCAGAGTCAGAGTTCCAAGATTCCAAATAGAGCATTGAACTTACTATAATACTAAATTGAACTTTCTCTGTCCGCTTTGTTTCTTCGTGGACTTTGGTGCGTTGTGGCCACTGAATTAATAATTACGTTCTGAGTAGCAGGAGATGAGATATTCCACAAAAGTAATACAAATATCCAAGTGAAAAAAAAAAAAAAGTTCAAACTCTTGTAGCCATATTTCAAAATTGGGAATCTATATCTTTCTTATGTGAGTTGGCTTGAGAGTTATACGCACTGTCTTTTAACATCTTTTTCCTTTGAAAAGCACTTGTAAGACAATATCATATGATCCCTTATGGTCATTGTCCCTTTGAGAGAAAACTATATGTTCCTAACACTCGAGCTCACGGGCAAGACATATCCTGAAGCGAAGCTTCATCAAAGTCCTTTTTTTTTTTTTTTTGCATTCTTTTTCTTTACAAGAGCTGATTGGAGATTTAATTTGATATTAAATATAAGACTTTACTTGACTTTATCTCTCTGTTTTTTTTTTTAAAGATAGTTCCAATGGTGATTGGTCATGCTAAAATATTTTCATTTTAATGCACATAATTAATAAGAGTATTTTAGGAAAGAAAACACTTATTTATTACAAGTGACTAGCTTCTGACTTTCTTATTATTAGCAAATTAATTATCTGACTCATAATATATATGAAGGACCAGAGGTAGTATAACTTTGATTGACCTATGAGCCGTTAATTTTGAAGTCAAACATATATGCCTAATTGTTTTGACAAAGTTTGCTTCAAATTTACGAATCAAGGGAAAAAATTGAAGAAAAACGTAAGCTACAATTAATCCTAACGGGAAAAGATGTTTAGTTCATGAAATTTGAAACGTTTCATTGCTTGTTTTATTAATATATGCTACTAATATTATTTCATCTTCCAGTGCTGCCGGCTACTGAATGTTTACATATTTTCACAAAATGAGATAATATCATTGAAGACAAAAGCATAAATGATGTTTCCTTCTCCCTCATTGGCATTCTGGCATCTTCTCTATGAACGTTCTATGATGCTTCGGATTGGAGGCATGACCCTCTCAGGTCTTCCATTCATTCCTTTATTATTTCCCATATATCGTTAACTATAATCACTGAATTGAAATTAAAAATAACAGAATTTACTGAAGAAATTTTTATTTTTATTTTAAAAACTATTATTTTATAATTATTCCCAAGAGTTTCCTTGCGTTAGTTTGCTTGCACAGAAAAAATCATGATTAATCGAATTTATTGGATTACGGCATATAACATTCTGTTCTCAATCTGGCCACGTTAAAAAAAAAAAAAAAATTGTCAATGTTGCTCAACTAAAGATTACTATCTTTCACGTTCATAGTTGATTGAGATCACATGAAAATTTTCTGTTGATAAATGTCACCGCGGTCACAAACAATTTGGCTCTGAGCATGTGAGGGAAGAAAAAGATAGCGAAGATCTTTACATGAAACAAAATTATTGTCCGAATTACCTTTCTATACAAAAATTTGTGTTGGCTAAACTAAGTTAAAACTGTCACTGCAAGCTAGCACCCGTTGAAGCAAGTAGTGACTTTTAGGAAGACATCTTCTGTGCAAGGAATGGTGAGGGCACCCATTGGATGATCAAACCCAAATTCTTCTTCAGCTTCACTTAACAATTCTTGGAAAGAAGGCTGATTCAAGTATGATATAGGGATAACAAATCTCTTCATTTCCTCTCCAACATATAATGCGAGATGTCCCTTTGGCACTTCACCACATTTTGCAGAGCTCACTTTGGCAGCGAAGGAAGTCCTCCTAATTCCTGGTAAACGAAAACCCATTGTTGTTTGTGTTTATGAAGAGAATAAGAAGGAAGCGTTTGGATAATTTTGATGCTTGAGAGTATTGTGAAAGACTTGTGTTGCTCGCTTCTAAAAGCGTACGAGTATATATAGATGAATGGTGTAGGAAAGGTTATGTGATGGAACTTAATTATCGAAAGACAAGGGCATATAGAGATAACATGGAGCTGTCTCAGAGGTATTTCTCACAAAAACAAATGCCAGGATGAGAGCCAAAAGAATAGCAAGGACATAAGAAATCCTTTTGTTTGAGATATGATTGAGGAAGGGTCAGGTAAGTGGTGTAGTCCAGAGAGACATGGATGAGAAAGATCACATGATAATGTTTTATGTCTTTCTCAAACGTAAGATCTTATATTTCTTATGGTTGTCAATTTCATTTCTTGACGTGCTTGAGGCAAATTTCTCTTTAAATGACAACGGAGAGCATATGGGACAGCATGTCTAACTTTAAATGACAACTGAAAAATTCTTATAGGAGACATTGCGCCTTAAACTGTTCAAGTCTTCCTTCTTGAACATAAAACAGAGCCATGTGATTTTCGTTATCCATATCTCTGGACGGGATTACAACTCATTTTAGATAACTCTTTAGCAGTCATGACCCAGTCCCCCCATCATTATTTGGCTCATCTTGACTTGTTGCTTTTACAAAATGACCTCTAAGACACATCCATGTGAACTCAAGGTGCCTTTGTCTTCCAATAGCTAGGCTCTATCATGTAACTTCTAAACCACCAATTATTGTAGGAATACAGATCCATTCATCTATATATACTCATAATTGTATGCTTTCAGAAGCAAGCAACCCAATCTTTCACAATACTCTCAGGCATCAGTATTCACATCCTTCCTTCTTATTCTTCTTACACACAAGTACACAACAAGCAATGGGTTTCCGTCTACCTCTAATCAGGAGGGCTTCATTCGCTACAAAACTTACTACAAAATCTGGTGAAGTGCCAAAGGGATATCTCGCAGTATACATTGGAGAGGAAATGAAGAGGTTTGTGATCCCTATATCATACTTGAATCAACCATCTTTTCAGGAGTTGTTAAGTGAAGCTGAAGAAGAATTCGGGTTTGATCATCCAATGGGTGCCCTCACTATTCCTTGTGCAGAAGATGTCTTCATAAAAACCACTTCTTCCTTTAGTGGGTGCTAGCTAACCAAGACATGATCAGATTAGTCAACCTACACAATTTTGTAATCATTTTGCTTTGTAGAGATTTTTGTTCTTTTCCTTCCCCTACAGGGGAAGTGAAAAAACTGTTTATCTCAAAGAGAAGATGAATAGACATTTTTCACGTTATCTCAACCAACTGTCAATATCAAAGACATTAAACATATAGTTAAGGTGATCACGAGTTGTATCTCTTTAATCTTTAATCTGATAATTCAAGTTCAGATTTCCCTCCAGGGGTATTAACATCAGCTCCCTCAGTGGCTTTTCTAGAGAAGTGATCCCACATGCACGCCTATGCATATTACTTCTTTTTTCAATAAAAAGATCAATATATTAGACAAGGTAAAAAGACAATGTTGCAAGTCCAGTGTTCTCATCCAGTAACTAAGGGTGAGCTGAAAAATGATGACTAATGAGTCCCAGTGCTCTTATATTCCAACGGTAGCGTTAAGAAGAAGAGGAAAAGAAATGTTTTATTTGATACGCAAAATAATTAACTTTTATTTCATGGGAAAATCTATAATTTTTATTTTGAACTCAATAATTATAGTTTATAAACAAGGCGTACGTAGCATCATTTAAAGAAAATTATGTTTCTAACACTCGAGTTCACAAGCAACATATGTGTCCCGAAGCAAAGCTTCATCGGAGTCCAATTTTTTTTTTTTTTTTTGATTTTGTCCGTTTTTAAGAGTCTTTAAATGTTTTATTAATTTGTACAAATCATAACTTTGATTGACCTAGGAAAAAGATTGAAGAAAAACATAAGCCAATTAATCCCAAAGGGAAAATTAGAAATGTTGAGTTCATGAGATGTTATATAGAAGAGTAAAGCTCAATCATGAGTACAAAAAGTTGTCGTAACGACAGTTAATTACGCTGGTTAATAAACTGACGTGAAGTATTGAACGGTAACATTGTAAATTATTTGAATTTTTAAGTTAAGTTTATAGAAATTAAAGAACCCAAGTCGTAGAAACCAATTTTTAATTTAATTCTAATCTTGAATTTAAAAATAAATCATAATTAACAATCAAATATGTTAATTTTATTAATATATGCTTCTAATATTATTTGATCTTCCAGTGTTACCGGCTACTGAATTTTTACATATTTTCATAAAATGAGATAATATCATTGAAGACAAAAGCATAAATGATGTTGCCTCATCAGTCTCTCTCAGTGGCACTCTGGCATCTTCTATTCAAACGTTCTGTGACGCTTCGGATGGGTGGTATAGAACTCTCTGGGTCGTCCATTCATTCCTTTATTTCCCATCATTAAATGGGTTTCCTTTAGCCTTATAAATCATAATTACTGAATTGAAATTAAAGATAATATAATAGAATTTTCCCATTGAAATTAATTTTTATTATAAAAATATTTTTTATAATTCTACTAAATAGTTTCCCTGGATTAATTTGCCAGCACTGAAACGTTCATGATTCGAATTTACAGGATTAATTAATATATGACATTCTCTTCTCAATCTTGGCACGGGAAAACATATTTTGGTTGCCTATCAGTACTTTTCCGGCCCAAAAAGAAAAAAGATCAGTACTTTGACGATTCAGATCGCATGAAAATTGTCTATTGATAAATTTGTCACATACACAAACATTTTACATTTCCTATGTAGGGATGGGGCAAATCCTTAGAGAAACAAAATTATCATCTGAATTTGCTTCTATACAAAATTGTATTGACTAATCTAAGTTAAAACTGTCGTTGCGAGCTAGCACCCATTGAGGCAAGCAATGACTTTCAGGAAGACGTCTTCTGTGCAAGGAATAGTAAGGGCACCCATGGGATGATCATGCCCAAATTCTTCTTCAGCTTCACTTAACAATTCTTGAAAAGAAGGCTGATTCAAGTATGATATGGGGATCACAAATCTCTTCATTTCCTCTCCGACATTTATTGCAAGATATCCCTTTGGCACTTCACCAAATTTTGCAGAACTCACTTTTGCAGCGAAGGAAATCCTCCTAATTCCTGGTAAACGAAAACCCATTGTTGTTTGTGTTTAGGAAGAGACTAAGAAGGAACTGTTTGGATATGCTTGAGAGTATTGCGAAAGATTTGCGTTGCTTGCTTCTGAAAGCTTACAAGGATAAGTATATATAAACGAACGGTGGAGGAAAGGTTATGTGATAGAACTTACTTATCCGAAGACAAGGGCATCTAGAGATCACATGGAGTTGTCTCAGAGGTCTTTTCCAAAACCAAAACAAGTCAGGATGAGAGCCAAATGAATAGAGAGGACATCAAAATTCTTTTGGTTGAGATATGATAGAGGAAGGGTCAGTTAAGCGACGTAGTCCAAAGAGACATGGATGAGAAGGATCACATGATAATGTGTTATGTCTTTCTCAAACGTAACATCTTATATTTCTTATGGTTGTCAATTTCAGTTCTTGACATGCTTCAAGCATATCTTACGCTTCCTTTATCTTTGCTGGTCCTTTATCTTATCGACATAAGGCTTTAAACAGTTCAAATGACTCTTCTTGAACACAAAACAGAAACATGTGGTTTTCCTTATCATGTCTCAGGTTTGTATTACAACTCATTTTAGATAGATCTTTAGCATTCATATCCAAGCCCTCCCTTCATTAGTTGGCTCATCTTGACTTGTTGCTTTTATGAAATGATCTCTAAGACACATCCATGTGAACTCCAGGTGCCTTTGTCTTCTAAGAGCCAGGCTCTGTTTCTTAACCACCAATTATTGCAGGAAGACAAATCCATTCACCTATATATACTCACACTTGTCTGATTTCAGAACCAAGCAACACAAATCTTTCACAATACTCTCAGGCATCATATTCAAATCCGTCCTGCATATTCTTCTTACAAAGAAAAAAACAATGGGTTTTCGTCTTCCTGGAATCAAGAGAACTTCATTTGCTGCAAAACCGACGTCTTCGAAATCTGGTGAAGTGCCAAAGGGTTATCTCGCAGTATATGTTGGAGAGAAAATGGAGAGGTTTGTGATCCCTATATCATATCTGAATCAACCTTCGTTTCAAGAGTTGTTAACTGAAGCTGAAGAAGAATTCGGGTTTGATCATCCAATGGGTGCCCTCACTATTCCTTGCACAGAAGATGTTTTCCTAAAAGTCTCTTCTCTCTGTAGGTGCTAGGTGACAAAGACAAGATTAGATTAGTCCGCACAATTTGTAATCCTTTTGGTTTGTGGAGATTTTTGTTATTTTTCTTCCCCTATACGGGAAGTGAAAAAATTGTTATCTCAAAGGGAAGTTGATGAATAGATTTTTCACGTTTTCCAACCAACTGTCAATATCGAAGCCATTGAACACATATATAGTTTAGTCTGGCTGCGAATTGCATTTTGTTTTAATCTTCTAGCAAAATTGAGGCAAAAAACTTATATTACTTGATCTAGTAATTCAAGTTCAGACTTCGCTAGCTCTAGGGGTATTAACGTCAGCTCCCTATTGGCTTTCCTAAAGAAGAGGTCCCAACCATACATACATACACATATGCATACTTAATTATAAACAAAACAACTTTAATTTGAGCCTCCCACTCTCACTTTTATTACTTCTTTATTTTTTTAATAAAAAGATCAATATATTACACAAGGTAGAAAGACAATATTGCAACTCCGGTGTTCTAATCCAGTAACTAAGGGTGAGCGGATAAATGTTGACTAAGTTCCAGTGCTATAAGATTCCAAATGTAGCGTTAAGAAGGATTGATAGGGGGGAAAAAAACAGTTTTATTTAACACGCAAAATAATGTTTATCTCCTTGTAAAATCTATAATTTTTATTTTCAACTGAACAATTATAATTTATAAAGAAGGCGTAGCATCTGTAACCCAAAAAAAAAAAAAAAAAGAAGGCGTAGCATCATTTATGTTGTTGTCTTCAATGATATGATCTCAATTCGTAAATCATGTGGACTCCGATTAATAGACAGTAAGACCATACGAACTAAATTGAATTTTCCTTGTCCACGTTGTTTCTCTATGGATATCTAACCCATGCAGCAGCCAGATCTCATAAACATTTTGACAAATGAAAAGGTCATGTGATCTACTATGGCCATTGTCCCCGCGTAAGAAAATTATATGTTCCTAATTCATGAGTTCATAAGCAACACATATATCATGGAAAAGAAGTAAAGAAAAACATATAAGCAAATTATTCGTAATGGGGGAAAAATGTTTAGTTCATTGGTTGCTTAAATACTTCTCTGATCCTAAATATAAGACCCTTTTTATTGTCTAAATTACACTACAAAAGAGGTCTTATGTTTGAGAGTGGAGTAGTATTATATAAGAAATTATGGCTTCAATCACTTGTGCAGAAAAAAAGTTTCCTAGGATTAATTTACTTGCACTTATACAAAGACTCTTTCGTTTCTCTATAATCAAATCTACATTTGAATTTAATTTACTTGACTAAATATAACTCTCCTCTCAATCTTGCCACGAGAAAACAAACTTTGGTCGCCTAATGTGGAAGATCAAAGCCGTTGGTATTCATAATTGAATGAAATTGTGTGAAAATTATATTGACAAATTTCTCATTGACGCTGGTTTACAATTCCCGATTAGGGGAAGAAAAGGCAGGGGAAAAATCTTAACATAGCAGAAACTATGTGAATTGCCTTCGATACAAAATTGTGTCAACTAATCTAAGTTAACGTCGTCTTTGCTTGCTAGCACCCACTGAAGGAAGAAATGACCTTTAGGAAGATATCTTCTGTGCAAGGAATAGTGAGAGCTCCCATGGGATGATCATACCCGAATTCTTCCTCAGCTTCACTTAACAACTCTTGAAATGAAGGCTGATTCAGGTAAGATATAGGAATCACAAATCTACTCATTTCCTCTCCAACATAAATTGCAAGATATCCCTTTGGCACTTCACCAAATTTTGAAGAAGTCACTTTTGCAGCAAAGGAAGTCCTCTTGATTCCTGGAAAACGAAAACCCATTGTTTTCTCTGCGTTTATGAATAGAATGAGAAGGAAGTGTTTGAATAATTGTGATGCTTGAAAGATGTGTGTTGCTTGCTTCTGAAAGCATACAAGTATGGGTATATATAGATGAACGGTGGAGGAAAGGTAATGTGATGAGGCTTAATTATTGGAGGACAAGGGCATGTAGAGATCACATGGAGTTGTCTTCATGTCGTTTTCAAATAAAACTAAGAAGTTATGAGATGAGCCAAATGAAGTGAGAACTCTGTTCAAGCATAATTGAAAAGGATGAGCCAAGAATAATCCCCTTGAGAGTATTGAACAGATCAACAAGAAGCATGCATGTTTATTGCAATTCTGTAAAAGAGACTTTCAAAAGGCTCGATATTTATTTTGAATTTTAAAGACACGCCGCGTTTCTCACACTTTAAGTTAAATGCTGCTCCAACGCGTTATCAATTGAAAGGATGAAGATAAGGAAAACATAAGAGATGTCTCAAGCATGTCTGGAAAGTGAAATGACAGTTAGAAAATATTTAGATTGACACTAAGCTTTGAATTGTTCAAATAATCCTTCCCATCCATAAAACATAAAGCAGAACCATGTGATCCTTCTCATCCATGTCTCTGGACTAGACTACAGCTCCTTTAGCTAACCCTTCACCAATCAAATCTCAACCAAATGGAGATTCTGAAGTCCTCCCTTCATTTGATCCTGACTTGATTTTTGAAATAGACTCTAAGACAACACCATGTGATCTCTAGTGTGCTCTTGTCTTTCGGTAGGCCCTAACACGCCCTAACACGCAAAGCCTCTCCCTCTACCAATTATTGAAGTAAAGCAAATCCTTTCATCTATATATACACTCAAAGTTGCAAGATTTTCCAAAGCAACACAACTCATCAACATATCCTCAGGCTTCTACATCCTATCTCTTTCTTCTTACGTTCTCTCTTATCCACAAAAAATGGGTTTTCGTTTACCTGTTATTAGAAGGACTTCATTTGCTGCAAAAGTGGCTTCGTCAAAATCTGGAGAAGTGCCAAAGGGGTATCTTGCAGTATATGTAGGAGAAGAAATGAAGAGATTTGTGATCCCTGTATCTTACTTGAATCAACCTTTGTTTCAAGAGTTGTTAAGCTTGGCTGAAGAAGAGTTTGGATATGATCATCCAATGGGTGCACTCACTATTCCTTGCAGAGAAGATGTCTTTCTAAACGTTACTTCTTCCTTCAATGGATGTTAGTTTGCAAAGGAAAAAACTTAGATTAGGAGACATTTTTGTAGAGGAGGCAATTTAGATCCTTTTTCTATGTAAAGATTTTTCTTTTCCTTCTTCTTGCTTCCCCGACTATTCGGAAATGAAATATTGTTTACATGAACGACAAATTTTGTCAATGGACATTTTTTCATGTTATCTCAATTAATTATGAATATCGAAGCCTCAAAGGCGTTGAACTTTCAGTTTAAGTGACAGAGAATTTGTATCCTTATCCTGCAGGCAAATCTGAGAAGCAGTATTGTATTCTTAATCCAGTAAATTCAAATCAATTTTTGCTTTACGATAACAAAAGCGTCTGTGCAAGTGGGAGCATACAATGCCCCAAAAACTCTTTAAGATTTTTTTACCAATAAAAAGTTGTACTTTGTACTCAAAAACTTGCATATCTATGTGTATTTCGTATTCAGTGATATTATCGATCTGAATTTATGAAAAACATGTGAACACAGCTCAATATACTGATAGATGACTAGGAACGAAATTCAATTTTCGGGGACTATTTTGAACGTTTGAAGACACCGGCATATACTGGATTAATAATGAAGTCCTGTGTCTCAAGAGATCATATTTTACCCTTGGAAAATATGGCACGACTCAATAAAAATTTTAAATTACATGTTTAATTAACAGCTTGTTATTAGATTTCATGAATATACATGGTTCATTTGTCTTCTGGCATGAACAAATATGGCATGCAAAATTCAATCATTCAGCTTATAAGATCACATTGTTCTACTAAAGATAAACCAACTTCATTTACTCCTCAAGTTTTAAATCAAGGCATCATGCTACTTAATTATGTCTCCAAATAGCCCTGTTATATTGCCATCTATCCATTTAGGCCCTCCCAAGATTTTGCAGATTTTGATCTATCTTGTATGAGTTGGCTTGATTGTTGTATATATATGCATAGTCTCATAACATCTTGAAAAGCACTTACAAGACAAGATCATCTGATCTCTTGCGGCCCTTGTCACTCATGTGATTGTAAGGTCAAATGTTGTTTTAAGAATTAAGAGAGAAACCACGAGATTACAGTGCATGGCTTGTCTCACACTTTGTTCTTTATCGAATGGTCTTAGTTTAGATTGTGTGTGAGGCTATTTGGTGGATTTTTCGTGATTGATAGATCAGACCACGATTACTGAGCTTTTCAACAGGCCACAAGCACATGTAATAAGTGACATGTTTTGAGCAGTGTCTAAAAAAAGCACCCTTACATCACCTAAACAATAATCGAGTTCTCTTCTGCTCAAACGTTGTTTGTCAGATGATAAAAAATGAACCATGGGTAATACTGTGTTTCTGTAAATAAATAAAGAACGAGATTTTTATATTGAAGAAACCTAGAGACAGAATCATATGATCCTTCTCACCCATGTCTCTAGGCATTGGACTGTAGCGTGCACTCCATTGTACCTAAAAAGGAGACAACTCCATGTGACCTCTAGTGAGCCCTTGTCTCTCAATCATATTGGCCCTGCCCTACACCGCCCCTTTATATCCACAAATCAGAGAAGAAAATCAAATATTTCGTCTATAAATACTCATACTGAATGCTTTCGAAAGCAAGCGACACAAATCTTTCACAATATCCCCAAGCTAAGCATCAATATTCAAACACTACTTCCTCCTTATTTTCTTCGACACGAAAAACAATGGGTTTCGCTTGCCTGGAATCAGAAGGTCAGCTTCATTTGCTGCAAAATCGACAGCTTCGAAATCCGGTCAGGTGCCAAAGGGATATCTAGCAGTTTATGTTGGAGAGGACTTGAAGAGGTTTGTGATTCCAATATCATACCTGAACCAACCTTCGTTTCAAGAGCTGTTAGGTGAAGCTGAAGAAGAATTTAGATTTGATCATCCAAGGGTGCTCTCACCATTCCTTGTGCAGAAGATGTCTTCGTGCATGTCACTTCTTCCTTCAATGGCTGCTAGCTTATGAAGACAAGACTAACTTAGATTAGTTAATTAACACGACACAGTTTTGCCGAGGAAGTGACTTATGTCCTTTGGTTTTGTAAAGAGATGCGTTTTTTTTTTTTTCCTTTTTTCCTTCCCTACTTGGGAAGTGGGAAATTGTCCATCTGAATGAATTTATTAGGAGAATGTTTTCACCCACATCTCAATCTGAGTGAAGAAGATTCATATTCTTCTTGCAGATCATCGAGGAAAACATTTGTTTTATTCTTTCATCTGGTAAAGTCGAATCAAAATTTAATTTATTTGAAAGTACCAAAAGCTTCCTTAGATGAGTGTGTGTTAAAAACTCTAAGAAATTCTAGTCATTACTTCTTATTATAAGAAGCTCCTGCATATTTAAATTATTAATTTTTTCATATGATATCCTTAATTAAGTATAAAACTTCTCAATTAATGACTTTATTGATGATAATTTTGATATTTTATAAAAGATAACTAATTTTAACTTTATTAGTTTATGTAAAATTGTTGACAAATTAAATATAATAAAGAGGTTTTTTTAATTAATTTCAAATCAGTAATTTAAAACAGGAAGGAAGCATCATTTTCTATTCCTGTGTTCGATAATATTAACTGTTAGGATTATTCGGATTCAAAATCAATAACTCTTGTAGGACTATAAGCAAGATTGATAATTTTCCACATTGGTCTCTTTGTTCTTTGGACCAGCCGTCTTCAGCCTGGCCACTGAATCCACTAGATTAATCAAGTCTTAACATATAACAGGTTGTTGTTGTGGTTTTGGGGGGGGGGGGGGGGAGGGGTTTGATTTATTTGGTTTATAATAAGAAGAGTAAACTCCGAAGGGCAAATAATCAAATGCAACAATCTGTAGTGCTCTTGTCTGCTTATATAAGGGTTTATTTAGAATGGTTTATAAGTAACTTTCAATGATTTACAAAATAAGAAAAAAAACATGTGAGAAAAATTTTATCTCCATCTACATGAAATATGCTAATAACTGCTTATAATCGTGATCTCAAACGAAACCTAAATGATGAATAATGCACAAATCCAATCACCGTGTTCTCATGACCCGGATGTTGTCGAATGGGCCCAAGCGTCTGTATGGGCTGGGCAAAAATGAATGGGCCAAGAATGATGTCAAGGCTGTTGAGGGTGAAAGAAACGGAGTCATTTCAAATCCACGTTTATTTTTCCTGACCAACAAAATTTTTAGATATCAAATGTGTCGTCTAAATTAGAATTTTTTTTTTTTCCAAACAGAACTGAGTCTAGTGAAAATAACTAATTCTTCATAACATAATGAATCCAGCTTTGAATTACTATTAAAAAAAGTACCTACATTTAGTGTCTATATATATAAAATAAATAAATTAGTTTTTTTTCTTTTTTGATTAGAGGAGCAGTATGAGGATGAAAATGGGATCCAACGCATAACCACTCACTGATAGAAAATTTTCATGTCATAAGACGACTAATGGCAAATTGACAAATCAAATTCTTCATAAACATCTCAAAGCTAATAGTGACGCTTCGGTGGAGCAACAAAATATTTTATTATGGAAAAATTAAAAAAAATCTAATTAAAAAGCTTATGGATGAAATGATTTAAATCAGAGTATTAATGCGTGTGTACCAAAAATTTGTAGTGCACCAGTATAATGTATATATTAAAATTTATCACGTTTTTGTTACGACTTCCTCCATTTTTTAAAAAATATAATTAATGAAAAACGAGTTAAAATTAGTTAGGTGCAATAAACATGTAAAATTAATTTTTTTTTTCAAAAATATCCTCATTTATGAAAAATGTGGGGGTGTGAGAGAGAGTGGGAAAAAGAGATGAGACAGACATTAATTAATGACGGATGGTAAAACTGAAGAAAATATATTAAACATTCAAAAAGCTCTAAAATGTATCTTATAAAAAGAAACTTGGCTATTCAAGAAATTGTCTCATATAAAAAAGAGCGGAAGGAGACAGAGAGTAATAAATTTTAATGGGGATTTCTTCGATTTTTTCTATTTATTTTGATGGGGATGGGGAATTTATTACAATTTGCAAGAGAGGCTCGTGAATGTGGCGTTTGCTAGAACAGCTACCATCAGAGTGAAACGACGGCATTCTTTTGTCTGGGCATAAGCACAGAATGTGCCTTCCTTCTCCCGCAGAAGCAAAGGCGAATGCAATCTTCCCACTCCGTCATCTGCTCGCAATTCACTCTTTGCATTCGATTCCTTCAAAAGCTGCTTTTTTAACTCAAACGCATACTTCAATCCCACTTCCCATTAGACAATTCCAAAACAGTGTCTTGCGGTGAAGGTATCGCTAAGTTTCCACGCTTCCCTGTCCATTTTTTCTGCGTCATTGACTTCTTTGCCTTCTTGTGCATCTTGGGCTTCTCCGTTTTCCTCTTCTTCCTCCATGGGAACCCCAGAAAACATTCTCGAACTGAAGCTCAGAAGTATGTGTATTCGGTGTGGGCTCAACCAACGGAAGATGTGCGGGATAGGATGAAGAAGCTGATGAGCGGCCTCCGATCGGAGTTCGGTGGGCCTGAGTTTGAACCCCACAATAACAGTCGTAGGCGCGATCAGACTGA